GAAAACTTTTTGTTTTATAGCCCATTTGAATTTTTAATCTCATTTATCTCAAAATACTCTTTTGTGACTTAATTGCTTTAGCACTAAAGTCCTCAATTTAACTATACAAAATGAAGAACCATTTTAACTAGGCTTTTACAAAATAAAAAAACCAATTTAACCATACACAATATAAAAATAAAATAATGATTACCATATAGGCCTACACATTTACAGCTTACGTTTATGTTTTTTAAACTGTCAGATCACTTTTGTAACAGACAACCAACCCAAGTTCTCATTTGGAAGACAATGTCGAAAGCCACTTCCGGTTTAGCTAGAACCCTGTGTCTATCGACACAATTACTCGCTATCTCATCTAAGAAAAAAATGGTCTCCAATTTTCGTGACTTGTCCTTAATAGTACAAGGCGACCTCTTGTCCTTGTTTATTTTTTATTTTTTTATTTACAGCGTTTTTTTTCCTGTGAAATTTTTATTCCAGAATATACCGTCATCCTACTTGCTGATTAAACTATGAAGTATTATTTTGTATTTTAATTGTGTTTCGTTTTTTTTCCCTCGAAACCCTAGATCTAATTTACAACTCTTTAAATCATCAACTCCTTTTTTTTCCCTCTCGTAAAACTTGTATCTGATTGTCTAATCTCCCTTTCTAGTAGCTAACTCAATCCTTGACTGTAATAGAAATCCTTCTAGAAGTTTCCAACACTTCCATCCCATGCCCCCCCCCCCCCCCCCCATCGCTTAGCAGATTGCTGAACACATACGTCACTCAATAGTTCCATCCTTCGCTGGTATAGAGCATAAACAGGATTCCATTTAAACTTTTAAGATACAGGATTTACATCCATGTTGTACTTACATTTTTATTAACCGCAAGCGGTTGTATTAATATGTGTACCAATTTCAAGTTAATCATAATTTCCGACTGATTTGCTTATCCGATTTATAACATTTGTCAGTTTATTACAATTTTTGGTGTCCCCTAATTTCAGCCAAGAAAAGAAATTCGGTGTATTCGAGTTTTCTATTTCTTTTTAAATTTCCGTTTAATCCTTAGGTCATCGGAACACTGGTTTCTAAATGCTATAATCATTAATGTCTGGACATTCGCTTTACCTGTTTATTTTGTTTTATGTTTTTTTATTATGGGGTACGGGGTTGATGTATGTTGTTTATTTATTTACTTATTGTTTTTTTTTTTTTGCATTTGGCGGCTACATCACGGTGTTGAGTGTTGATTATTTTTTTTACCTAGCATTAGACCACGTTGTTCAAGGTACGATGCATCCTACAAGCACCCAAGCTGAAAACATTTTAATCTGTAAACATTTTTTATATTTTTTTTTCAAACGACAACTAATCGACTAAAAAATGAAGAATGTACACAACCCAAGACAACAAGATACATAACCTGTCACTTCTATGCTCAGTTGTGACAATAAAAAATGTCACAAATGCCTTGCTGTTTTTAATAACACACGTATTACAAGATATTTTTTTCAAGATCCTTTTCACCGCTTAACCCATTTAAATCGACTCTAAATTTTACATAAGGAGTCTAAAGTTCATGCACTGACTCTAAAAGCATATAAATTGATTCTAAAATCTGCCACATCGACTTTTAACTCTGAGTTCATGTGACGATAATTCAATTTTTCCCTGTCCTTGGAACTGTCTCTGAAAAGCTGAAGTTAAAAGTATGAAATAAAATAATCACTTTGAAAAACAAACACCGACAACCAAAGTGGTATAAAAGAAGGGGATCGGTTTACTTTAGTGTCGTCGGTTTCTTTACACAAGATGGTGAAAGCCTTTTGAAAAGAGAATCATTTTTTGTTTTGAGACTTTTTTATCTTATTTTTAAATCTGAAGTTGACATTGCTAACGCAGATTTCTAGATATTCAACATTCTTGAATGCGGTCTAGAATAGTTTCTCGAGTAATTCCATCATTAAGTACATGTCTATATCTATCCGCCATCCCCCTTTATTACCTATACCTAACAATCTATCTCCTACCTATATATAACCACCACTCTCTTATCTATATCTAACAACCCCTCTTCTACCTATACCTAACCCCATTCTTCTACCTATACATAATCACACATATCTATATCTAACCACCCCTCTCCCACCTATACCTAACCACCCCTCGCCTTCTATTCCTAAACACCTCTATCCTACCTATACAAAACCACATCTCTCCTACCTATATCTAACCACCGATCTCTTTCGTTTAACTAATCACCCCCTCCTACCTATATTTATCTACCCCACCCATCTCCTATTCCTAAACACCCCTCTCTTACCTATTCCAAACCTATTCCCTCCAACCTATACCTAACCACCCCTCTCCTACCTAAAACCTAACCACCTCTATCATATCTATTCCTAGCCACCCCTCTCCTACCTAAAACCTAACCACCTCTATCATATCTATACCTAACCACCCCTCTCCTACCTAAAACCTAACCACCTCTATCATATCTATTCCTAGCCACCCCTCTCCTACCTAAAACCTAACCACCTCTATCATATCTATACCTAACCACCCCTCTCCTACCTAAAACCTAACCACCTCTATCATATCTATTCCTAGCCACCCCTCTCCTACCTAAAACCTAACCACCTCTATCATATCTATACCTAACCACCCCTCTCCTACCTAAAACCTAACCACCTCTATCATATCTATTCCTAGCCACCCCTCTCCTACCTAAAACCTAACCACCTCTATCATATCTATTCCTAGCCACCCCTCTCCTACCTAAAACCTAACCACCTCTATCATATCTATACCTAACCACCCCTCTCCTACCTAAAACCTAACCACCTCTATCATATCTATTCCTAGCCACCCCTCTCCTACCTAAAACCTAACCACCTCTATCATATCTATACCTAGCCACCCCTCTCCTACCTAAAACCTAACCACCTCTATCATATCTATACCTAACCACCCCTCTCCTACCTGAAACCTAACCACCTCTATCATATCTATTCCTAGCCACCCCCCTCCTATCTATAACTAACCACCCCCCTCCTACCTATACCTAACCACCCCTCCTCTCTTTCTCTGATAGTAAAACCCTATAACCATCAATATGGTCACACCCTTTATATTCATGAAACGTCTACATAATTGTATTATCTGTTTGACACGATCAAGACAAGACTATGGCCCTCTTTAGAGGGTCAGAAAGACCCAGAATGACCCAGCTGAAGAAGGGTTTAATTTTATTGAAAACAAACATGGCCGGGAAATACTTTTCACTTATTAAATTATGTGGCTATGCAATTCGGTTAACTCTACTCCACCTTCCAATATTGACTGTCTGGTCCTGTTGCCTGACTTGACACTATTTAACTTTAAAACAGGTCGCTGTGACATTGTGCACCCTCTCAATTTAAGATTTCCTGATTCCTTCAGCACTTATAATAACCCAGATTTTTTTTTCTTTCTTTTAAAAAAAAAACCTGGATTATACAAGTTGCTTTTGATTAATTATTTTTAATTGTAGCATTTTCACCATTTTTTGTTTCAAATCGGCATAACTAAATCGAATATAACGTAACATCTACGCAGTTTACAAGAAGATTTAAAACTGTAATTTCTCGCACTCTATACTGCACACTGCCCTACCTCGCATAGAGAACAGAGATGGGTTGGAGTCAGGGAACAGAATTGGACATTTCGGTCAAAACCCAACTCCATGACCCTGGGTATTAAATTTGTAATTTTTTATTTAAAAGTGCCCAAGTTTAACCGTTAGACCTCACTGTCATTATTTATTTATTTATATTTTTTCGCAAGTCTGAATTAATTACTTTCCTTGAACTCCTTGAACTCTATGATCGGTGCCTTGAGTGCAAGTTTTATAACGACTAACTTATCATACAGTTGAAGAAGCTGCGCCTGTGTACGGAAGGAATACAAATGACAAACAGCGCGCTAAAAATAAACATTCGCGCGATCTCCCCCCCCCCCCCCACTTAATTGGACTTTTATTTATGAGCTGATTTACCCGTAAACAACGTCATTACCCATGGACATTTTGCGGGACATTTTTCTTGAACCCACTTGACACCAGGACATTACAAAAAACGACATTACTGCTCGAGATCGCGGTATCTTTCCCCTTGCATTGCGCACTAAGTTATGCGACAATTTGACCTGTGACCTAGCCTTGAACTCGTGAATTTGGGCGGTTGGAATGATCAATGCAGATGACAAAATGTACATTGGAGATTTATGAAGATTAACTAAAGAATAATGGGGATCATTGCGTTCGATCGGTGTGTTTTTTTTAACGAGATTTTTATTTTTTTTATTTTTTGTAGTTGGTAACATTTTTATTGTTGTAGTATAAAATTAAATCGTGAAAAATGACACAAACAAACATTTAGAGTGAAAAGGTTTAACTCTCCGTAAAGTATATTATGATACCTAAAGAGCAGTAAAAAAAAATAGTCTAAAGCGTGTTCTATCAATAATTGTATTCAAATGCGTAAATTTCTACTCTACAATAAGCTTTACAGTCATTTTTAATTTTAGGCTTGACTCTAAAAATTATAATCAGGTTCATTTTGATGATTTTTTTAAAAAAGTAAATATTATCACTCACTAATTTAGAATAGTAAACCTTTTCAGGCTGTTCCACATGGCTGAACACAAACACATTGCTTGTTTTTAGTTACGTTAATGAACAAGCATTGTAAAGTAAAATCTTAATCTTGAAAATGTGTTCATTACCAGGTATCATTTGCTTAAAAGAAACTCAGTTGATTATCTTTCCCGCAACTATCCATGGGTTTGGCGCATTCTGGCCTATTAGCCTGGATAATTCACACAAACATTTTGTTTAAACTTCCCACATTGGGATAAAAGGGAGAAAAATTAAAATTTAAAAACAAAAACGGGGAATTGTTATTGATTTTCTCAACCAAACATTCGGATAGAAATCACCAACACTGAAGTCACTTATCAAACGATACTTATAAATCACTTTTGTAAACATTTTATTATCGCTATAACAACTGGCAGTTAACAATAACAATATTTTAAAATATGTAAATTATACTTTTAAAAAATTTAAAAACTTATTTAATTTGGCGTTCAAAAAATATTTGATAAAATATAATTAATTTACAACACACGTTTTGTTCTAAATTTTCTCGTAGGCGCCTTTCTTCCTTCCCCGGCTGAAGAGGTTCCTGGGCACACGGCATAGGAAGATGCTGTACAAGATCCAGCCGCTGTAGACAAAGCCGAAAGACAGTATGATCAGCAGGCCGAACTGGGGCGCTAGGGGCAGGGCGACCACCACGCCGAACTTGATCATATCCATCAGTTGGTTCAGGGAGTTCTGGACACCGTTGACCACCCCACGCTCGCTCTCAATGACCGTCTCCATGAACATTTGGGTGATGGCAAGGTCAGCCATCCAGAGACCTGATTGGGGAATACGTGTGAGATAATATAAAGGTCATCCAGAGACCTGATGGGGGAATACGTGTGAGATTATAGAAAGGTCATACAGAGACCTGATGGGGGAATACGTGTGAGATAATAGAAAGGTCATACAGAGACCTGATGGGGGAATACGTGTGAGATAATAGAAAGGTCATCCAGAGACCTGATGGGGGAATACGTGTATAGAATTTGAAATTATAAAAAGGTCATCCAGAGACCTAATGGGGGAATATATGTGTAGAATTTGAAATTATAGAAAGGTCATCCAGAGACCTAATGCGGGAATACATGTGAGATAATAGAATGGCCATGTTTTTTTTTTCTGTTGCTCTCGGTGGTGGGTGTTCTAGTAGCGTTGACTCTAGGTTTGTTACCTGACAATGGTTTGTCCAGTGTCTGTTTGAGTCGCACGTTTGACAAGCTTGTCGTCTTCCCAGTAGTGCGATTAAAATGTTTATTGGTGTGTCTTTGTACGTGATTTTAATGTAGTGTGGGATATATCGTGGATTGTAATTGTAGATGGTGATTTTCCGGTTGTTAGTGTTTGGGATAAAGGTGCTTGTGGGTTCTATTTTAGTTTATAGTCAGAAGTTCCTTAAGGATTGTGTCGTTACTAAGTGTAAGTTGGAACCATCTGAGGGTGCCGCTGACTTAATCTTTAGGGTGTATGGAATACTCTTTCATTTTTTCTTTTTTTTTTTTTTTTTTTTTTTTTTTTAATTTTTGAATGGAATACTCTTTCAATGTAGTAATTGCAAGAAACGAAGAGACACGCCTCAAGAATAAAGTCTGTTGTAGGTCAGTTTACTTAATTGTCTCGCAATCCTAAATAGTTAAAGTTTTACTAAATAAAACAAAAATGAAAATAAAAATCAACTCTGTATAACTTACCATGTCAAAGATACACTCTAAATTACATAATTTTACAACAAACATGTAACACGCCAGATAAGAGATAAAAATTTGTATAATAAAGATTCTTGAGATTCTTATCTTAATTTGAACAGAAAATGAACTAAGCATAGAAACTCAAGAGAGGTAACTCATTATAATTTTTAACTTTCAGAATTTGTACAGGCTTACTTCCCTTCTCTGAAGATTTTTTTTTTTTATTTTTTTTTGGTACTGTTTCAAACAAGTTTTATGATAAAATTGCTGGGTATAAAATACAATCAAAGTTATGGTACTTTTACTCAATAAACCTAAAGTCAAAGTATTTAATGGCTGCCTAACGGTTTGAAAAAACCCAGAAATTTTAGTGCTCAAGGTTAGGTCAGACCTAGTTCGTATTTTTTTCCATTTTCCTAATCGTAACCGATTAAAATTACCATTTCATTTGTCATTTCTGATAATATTACATAACTATTTTAAAAGCCAATTCAAATTATCCATTTTGTTCTATAAGAATAATTCTTAATATACACAAAAGAATTATGCTGGTGTAAACACAATTGTCAGATTTCAGCTACAACGGGAGATAACTTAAATTATAATTTGCTGTATTTTTATCCATGGGTTATCTCCTATATTGTTTTGTACTTTTAAAAAAAAACTATTTGTTTCTTGTATACAAAATGATGCATCTTTTATCAAGTAGCTCTATATTTCATACAGTTTTGCTACACCAATAAATGTTTAAAAAATAGTTTAAAAAACTAATTTAATTAATTATCAGACAAATTTCTCGACTAAAATCTCACCGAATCTGGCAGCAATTATTCCAGCCATGAGTACACTGACGGAGACGATGGGCGTGTCTACTTCCGGGCAGGTGAAGTTGGTCAGCAGGGGTGGCAGGACGGTGAACACGGGGTAGCTGCTGTTTTCTAGGGGGATGACGTCAGCTGGAACCACAAAATTAATGACGTCATCGTGTTGTCTAGCGAATATTTTCACACACTCTCAATAACGCAGCACCATTTGTTTGGAATATAATGGTGCGATATCAGGAGATAATGCTTGGCTGCTAACCCGAAAGTCTCAAGTTCGAATTCAGGTTCCATGTTAGTACAATGTACCTGAGTTCACCCAACTCTAATGGGTACCTAACTCACGTTAGGGCAAACAAAGGCGGCTGCGCACAGCCGAGATAAAAAAAACATATTAACTCTTCTTCATCTGCGCTATGGGTCGTTTGGCCTGAAAGGAAACTGAACTAACTTTACTTACTTGTATAACTTGAATGGTAGATAAAAAAAACTCACAAATGGAACCAAATTTTAGTTTTCTTTCCAATTTTATCTTAAGACTTTTTCAATTATCTAACATACACTTTATCTTTCTCTAAATTTCACAAACGTTTTTTTTTTCACCATCTTAATAGATAAAGAATGGGTGCCTCTCATATCCCTCTGCGCTTTTTAACACTTTTTTGTAACTGCTCACTACTCCCAACTTTCTTTATCTTAGAATGTATAAAATAATCTGAATATTTAATAAATGAGAGTACCATTTCTGTAAAATTAGCGTCTCCATTGGGCCTATTCTATCACTCTCCACACGTTTAGTTTTCTACAAAACGCCTACAAAAACTTACTCATATTAGTACAGTTGGTTTTCTCCAATTTGTCCGGGTCCATCAAATCAAACGGACTTCCGGGCAACCAGACGGACACGACACACATGGACAGACAGGCACACTGCAGGGTCAAGGCTATCATGCCAGTCCTGGGCAGGCCCACCCAGCGGCGCATGGCGGGGTAGGCGAAGGTCCCAAGGATCCCTATAAGACCCGCCCCTCCCATACAGATACCGACGATAGCCTCGCTTAATCCTTGGATCTTGGCGTAACCTGGAGAAAGAGGAGGTCATTGTAAAAGCTCTGTTTTATCCAAGCTACAGATTTAAACATTTAATTTAATGTAACGGTCTTGACGTTTCTTCTTCTAAGTTTGTGATGTTGGATGGGATTTCCTCCAACACTTTTAAGTATTTCGTGCAGTGTTTCTTTCAGAATTTTTTCTCCGGGGGGGAGGGGGGGGGACTTGAATATTTTTTTTCGGGGTGGGGGGGGGCGAAGAGATGTCTGGAAGAAACTCTGATTTCGTGTCAACCTGCTCTGCGCAAAAATAGCCCGTTGACTCCGATTTTAGCCTGCTTTTCTTGTTTGGATTTGCTACCATAGCCTTTGTCTAATCAAGAACAATGCACGAGGTAGCAGTTGTAAGATTTTTTAGTTGTCTCTCCTAGATGGGTTGCTATTATTATCCTCAAATATATTGTCATGAAATACTTATGCTTAGCAGTATTTTATCCTGGGCTATTTTTTCCTGGGCAATTTTATCCTGTGTTATTATGTCCTGGGCTATTTTGTCTGAAATATTTTGTCTGGAGATATTTTGTCCCAGGCTATTTTGACCCATCACCGTCTGTCACCTTACCCACTGTGATGTAATGGAACCCCAACACCGTCTGTCACCTTACCCACTGTGATGTTATCGAACCCCAACACCGTCTGTCACCTTACCCACTGTGATGTTATCGAACCCCAACACCGTCTGTCACCTTACCCACTGTGATGTTATCAAACCCCAACACCGTCTAACTGTCACCTTACCCACTGTGATGTTATCGAACCCCAACACCGTCTAACTGTCACCTTACCCACTGTGATGTTATCGAACCCCAACACCATCTAACTGTCACCTTACCCACTGTGATGTTATCGAACCCCAACACCATCTAACTGTCACCTTACCCACTGTGATGTTATCGAACCCCAACACCATCTAACTGTCACCTTACCCACTGTGATGTTATCGAACCCCTACACCGTCTAACTGTCACCTTACCCACTGTGATGTTATCGAACCCCAACACCGTCTAACTGTCACCTTACCCACTGTGATGTTATCGAACCCCAACACCGTCTGTCACCTTACCCACTGTGATGTTATCGAACCCCAACACCATCTAACTGTCACCTTACCCACTGTGATGTTATCGAACCCCAACACCATCTAACTGTCACCTTACCCACTGTGATGTTATCGAACCCCAACACCATCTAACTGTCACCTTACCCACTGTGATGTTATCGAACCCCAACACCGTCTAACTGTCACCTTACCCACTGTGATGTTATCGAACCCCAACACCGTCTGTCACCTTACCCACTGTGATGTTATCGAACCCCAACACCATCTAACCGTCACCTTACCCACTGTGATGTTATCGAACCCCAACACCGTCTGTCACCTTACCCACTGTGATGTTATCGAACCCCAACACCATCTAACTGTCACCTTACCCACTGTGATGTTATCGAACCCCTACACCGTCTAACTGTCACCTTACCCACTGTGATGTTATCGAACCCCAACACCGTCTGTCACCTTACCCACTGTGATGTTATCGAACCCCAACACCATCTAACTGTCACCTTACCCACTGTGATGTTATCGAACCCCAACACCATCTAACTGTCACCTTACCCACTGTGATGTTATCGAACCCCAACACCATCTAACTGTCACCTTACCCACTGTGATGTTATCGAACCCCAACACCGTCTAACTGTCACCTTACCCACTGTGATGTTATCGAACCCCAACACCGTCTGTCACCTTACCCACTGTGATGTTATCGAACCCCAACACCATCTAACTGTCACCTTACCCACTGTGATGTTATCGAACCCCAATACCGTCTGTCACCTTACCCACTGTGATGTTATCGAACCCCAACACCGTCTAACTGTCACCTTACCCACTGTGATGTTATCGAACCCCAACACCGTCTGTCACCTTACCCACTGTGATGTTATCGAACCCCAACACCGTCTGTCACCTTACCCACTGTGATGTTATCGAATCCAACACCGTCTAACTGTCACCTTACCCACTGTGATGTTATCGAACCCCTACACCGTCTAACTGTCACCTTACCCACTGTGATGTTATCGAACCCCAACACCGTCTAACTGTCACCTTACCCACTGTGATGTTATCGAACCCCAACACCATCTAACTGTCACCTTACCCACTGTGATGTTATCAAACCCCAACACCGTCTGTCACCTTACCCACTGTGATGTTATCGAACCCCAACACCATCTAACTGTCACCTTACCCACTGTGATGTTATCAAACCCCAACACCGTCTAACTGTCACCTTACCCACTGTGATGTTATCGAACCCCAACACCGTCTGTCACCTTACCCACTGTGATGTTATCGAACCCCAACACCGTCTAACTAAACCTTACCCACTGTAATGTTATCGAACCCCAACACCGTCTAACTGTCACCTTATCCACTGTGATGTTATCGAACCCCAACACCGTCTAACTGTCACCTTACCCACTGTGATGTTATCGAACCCCAACACCATCTAACTGTCACCTTACCCACTGTGATGTTATCAAACCCCAACACCGTCTGTCACCTTACCCACTGTGATGTTATCAAACCCCAACACCGTCTGTCACCTTACCCACTGTGATGTTATCGAACCCCAACACCGTCTGTCACCTTACCCACTGTGGTGTTATGGAACCCCAACACCGTCTAACTGTCACCTTACCCACTATGATGTTATCGAACCCCAACACCGTCTGTCACCTTACCCACTGTGATGTTATCGAACCCCAACACCGTCTACCTGTCACCTTACCCACTGTGATGTTATCGAACCCCAACACGTCTAGCTGTCACCTTACCCACTATGATGTTATCGAACCCCAACACCGTCTGTCACCTTACCCACTGTGATGTTATCGAACCCCAACACCGTCTAGCTGTCACCTTACCCACTATGATGTTATCGAATCCCAACACGTCTAGCTGTCACCTTACCCACTGTGATGTTATCGAACCCCAACACCGTCTGTCACCTTACCCACTGTGATGTTATCGAACCCCAACACCGTCTGTCACCTTACCCACTGTGATGTTATCGAACCCCAACACCGTCTAACTAAACCTTACCCACTGTGATGTTATCGAACCCCAACACCGTCTAACTGTCACCTTACCCACTGTGATGTTATCAAACCCCAACACCGTCTGTCACCTTACCCACTGTGATGTTATTGAACCCCAACACCGTCTGTCACCTTACCCACTGTGGTGTTATCGAACCCCAACACCGTCTAACTGTCACCTTACCCACTGTGATGTTATCGAACCCCAACACCGTCTAACTGTCACCTTACCCACTGTGATGTTATCGAACCCCAACACCATCTAACTGTCACCTTACCCACTGTGATGTTATCGAACCCCAACACCGTCTGTCACTTTACCCACTGTGATGTTATCGAACCCCAACACCGTCTAACTGTCACCTCACCCACTGTGATGTTATCAAACCCCAACACCGTCTAACTGTCACCTTACCCACTGTGATGTTATCGAACCCCAACACCGTCTGTCACCTTACCCACTGTGATGTTATCGAACCCCAACACCGTCTAACTGTCACCTTACCCACTGTGATGTTATCGAACCCCAACACCGTCTGTCACCTTACCCACTGTGATGTTATCGAACCCCAACACCGTCTGTCACCTTACCCACTGTGGTGTTATCGAACCCCAACACCGTCTGTCACCTTACCCACTGTGGTGTTATCGAACCCCAACACCGTCTAACTGTCACCTTACCCACTGTGATGTTATCGAACCCCAACACCGTCTGTCACCTTACCCACTGTGATGTTATCGAACCCCAACACCATCTAACTGTCACCTTACCCACTGTGATGTTATCGAACCCCAACACCGTCTGTCACCTTACCCACTGTGATGTTATCGAACCCCAACACCATCTAACTGTCACCTTACCCACTGTGATGTTATTGAACCCCAACACCGTCTAACTGTCACCTTACCCACTGTGATGTTATCGAACCCCAACACCATCTAACTGTCACCTTACCCACTGTGATGTTATCGAACCCCAACACCGTCTAACTGTCACCTTACCCACTGTGATGTTATTGAACCCCAACACCGTCTAACTGTCACCTTACCCACTGTGATGTTATCGAACCCTAACACCGTCTGTCACCTTACCCACTGTGATGTTATTGAACCCCAACACCGTCTAACTGTCACCTTACCCACTGTGATGTTATCGAACCCCAACACCGTCTAACTGTCACCTTACCCACTGTGATGTTATCGAACCCTAACACCGTCTGTCACCTTACCCACTGTGATGTTATCGAACCCCAACACCGTCTAACTGTCACCTTACCCACTGTGATGTTATCGAACCCCAACACCGTCTGTCACCTTACCCACTGTGATGTTATTGAACCCCAACACCGTCTGTCACCTTACCCACTGTGATGTTATCGAACCCCAACACCGTCTAACTGTCACCTTACCCACTGTGATGTTATTGAACCCCAACACCGTCTAACTGTCACCTTACCCACTGTGATGTTAACGAACCCCAACACCGTCTGTCACCTTACCCACTGTGATGTTATCGAACCCCAACACCGTCTGTCACCTTACCCACTGTGATGTTATCGAACCCCAACACCGTCTGTCACCTTACCCACTGTGATGTTATCGAACCCCAACACCGTCTGTCACCTTACCCACTGTGATGTTATCAAACCCCAACACCGTCTAACTGTCACCTTACCCACTGTGATGTTATCGAACTCCAACACCGTCTAACTGTCACCTTACCCACTGTGATGTTATCGAACCCCAACACCGTCTGTCACCTTACCCACTGTGATGTTATCGAACCCCAACACCGTCTAACTAAACCTTACCCACTGTGATGTTATCGAACCCCACCACCGTCTAACTGTCACCTTACCCACTGTGATGTTATCGAACCCCAACACCGTCTGTCACCTTACCCACTGTGATGTTATCGAACCCCAACACCGTTTAACTGTCACCTTACCCACTGTGATGTTATCAAACCCCAACACCGTCTATCTAAACCTTACCCACTGTGATGTTATCGAACCCCAACACCGTCTGTCACCTTACCCACTGTGATGTTATCGAACCCCAACACCGTCTGTCACCTTACCCACTGTGATGTTATCGAACCCCAACACCGTCTGTCACCTTACCCACTGTGATGTTATCGAACCCCAACACCGTCTGTCACCTTACCCACTGTGATGTTATCGAACCCCAACACCGTCTAACTGTCACCTTACCCACTGTGATGTTATCGAACCCCAACACCGTCTGTCACCTTACCCACTGTGATGTTATCGAACCCCAACACCGTCTAACTGTCACCTTACCCACTCTGATATTATCGAACCCCAACACCGTCTGTCACCTTACCCACTGTGATGTTATCGAACCCCAACACCATCTAACTGTCACCTTACCGACTGTGATGTTATCGAACCCCAACACCGTCTGTCACCTTACCCACTGTGATGTTATTGAACCCCAACACCGTCTGTCACCTTACCCACTGTGATGTTATCGAACCCCAACACCGTCTAACTGTCACCTTACCCACTGTGATGTTATCGAACCCCAACACCGTCTGTCACTTACCCACTGTGATGTTATTGAACCCCAACACCGTCTGTCACCTTACCCACTGTGATGTTATCGAACCCCAACACCGTCTAACTGTCATCTTACCCACTCTGATGTTATCAAACCCCAACACCGTCTAACTGTCACCTTACCCACTGTGATGTTATCGAACCCCAACACCGTCTAACTGTCACCTTACCCACTGTGATGTTATCGAACCCCAGCACCGTCATGTATAAAAACGCCAGAGCCAGACCACTCAGCATGACGTCATATCCGGCAAACGTTTTCCAGCCCTCGATAATGATGGTGACCCCAGACAGCAGACGACAGCTGGAATTCAAAGCCAAACATGATTAAAGATTTTTTGTGTTACCATACCCTAGTGACATTAATAAAATACACAAACGGCAGCTGTAATTTAAAGCAAGCCAAACATGATATAAAATTTCTTTGTGTTCTGATCCTTTCAGTAACAACAATAAAATACGCACATGACAACAAGAAAACTTTATACTCTTTTACTGTCTTAAGAGCTGCAAAAAATATGTCCAAACAAGTGGTAGAGCACTATACTGCTATCCTAATCTAGAGTTCGAATACGGGTTCAAGTTAGCAGAGTTCCCCTGAGTCCACCCAGCTGTGTTGGGTATCTAGCTCGCGTTTAAGAAAGTAAAAACGGCTGGATTTGGTGCTGACCACACTATCCCTTTTATACGCCGACTTCACGGAAACTCTACTTCACTTGTCCCATGGACCATCAGATTAGAAATGGGAACTTTATAAAAAAAAGCTGTTTACACTTAATTGACCATCAAAGAGCATCTACCTCTGTGTACACATCATCTTTGTCTTCTTTGTCTTGGACGTTTGACCAGCACCATTGGGGATCATGGGAGAGCTTTCATCTACATTTGTCTCGGCCACTTCGTGAGTCTGGTCAAGCCTAATTAAATAAACAATGGACGGGTTAACAAGCTGACCTGGTCAAGCCTAATTAAATAAACGAAGGACGGGTTAATGAGCTAGTCTGGTCAAGTCTGATTAAATAAACAATGGACGGGTTAACAAGCTGACCTGGTCAAGCCTAATTAAATAAACAATGGACGGGTTAACAAGCTGACCTGGTCAAGCCTAATTAAATAAACAATGGACGGGTTAACAAGCTGACCTGGTCAAGCCTAATTAAATAAACGAAGGACGGGTTAATGAGCTAGTCTGGTCAAGTCTGATTAAATAAACAATGGACGGGTTAACAAGCTGACCTGGTCAAGCCTAATTAAATAAACAATGAACGGGTTAATGAGCGAGGCTGGTCAAGCCAATTAAAAAAAACAGTGGACGTTTTAAACAATTAGTTTGGTCAAGCCTAATTAAAACAAATTGAAGACTAAGATGCGACCTCTGTTGTCTAGCTTGATCGCAGGAATTTTGTTTGTGGTTCAAAATGTATACATGTATGTAATAAGCATTCAAAAGGAAATGTTTGTTTATTAAAGTGTACCTTTTCTTTTCTTCTACAGTAGGCGGCTCTACAACAACTGTGGGGAAAAGAGTTAAAGTTTTTAACATTAAATTCATTATCGTATTTAATTAATGACGTGACCGAGCCCCCAACAATACAGTTGTATATTTCTATAACCATTGAAGGATTAGAATCAAAGCTTGCCAATTCTTGAAATTATTTAAGTATTCTAATTTGAATTAATTTGAATTTGTTTTACAATTTGTAAAGCAAATGACCGAAATATATATTGAAAACAATTTTCGTAATAAAATCTCGAATAAAAACTATTTCGTTCAGCATTCAACCTTAGATTTTCACAAACACTTTTAAATAACTAATCCCAACTATATTTTTTTTAAAATTGTAAACAACGAATAAAATTTAATCTTACGATCTTACATCTCTTTCGTTCTTAATTGCAATGCTGGGTGGGATTAGCTCTAATCAATTAAAAATTAATGTTCAACTTGTTCTGCACCATTTAGACCGTTTCAGCCTGCTTTTCCTTTTGGATTTACTTCCATGGCTACTGTTCCACCAAGAACAAACTACGCAAACAGTTGTTTGATTTTGGAGTTGTCTCTCCTAAAAGAGTTACTGTCGCCAGCTGTCGAGCCTCATCTGCTCGAGGGTTCGAATTCGGGACTTTACGGTTTAGCAACCATGAGCTTGACCGACCCGACTACGCTGAACTCAATGTATCTACGGCTAGAATTATCAAACTTTATATGTATTTGGCATCCGCCTATAATGTAACATTATAAAGTAGCCTATCGAAACAGATAGGGTACAAACAGCGAGCAATGATTAAGTCAGTCCAAACCACTCACGTTCCGATCTCTTGAAGTCTTTCCTCTTCCTCAAAGCCGGCACCGTGTTGTAGACCTTCCAGAGGAGGAAGTACTCGACCACACACGAGACCAGGTTCCAGGCCGACAGGAAGATGGCACCGTTCTCAACTGACCAGTCCATCACCTGGCCGGTGACGATAGGGGCGATGATTTGGGTGGTCAGGTCAATGGCCCGCATCGTTGCTGTCATGGCTGAATAAAGATAACAATAGTTGAGGATTTGGGGGGGGGCGATGATTTGGGTGGTCAGGTCAATGGCCCGCATCGTCGCTGTCATGGCTGAATAAAGATAAAAATAGTGGTGACGATAGGGGGGATGATTTGGGTGGTCAGGTCAATGGCCCGCATCGTTGCTGTCATGGCTGAATAAAGATAAAAATAGTGGTGACGATAGGGGGGGGATGATTTGGGTGGTCAGGTCAATAGCCCGCATTGTCGCTGTCATGGCTGAATAAAGATAAAAATAGTGGTGACGATAGGGGGGATGATTTGGGTGGTCAGGTCAATGGCCCGCATCGTCGCTGTCATGGCTGAATAAAGATAAAAATAGTGGTGACGATAGGGGGGATGATTTGGGTGGTCAGGTCAATAGCCCGCATTGTCGCTGTCATGGCTGAATAAAGATATAAATAGTGGTGACGATAGGGGGGGGGGTGATTTGGGTGGACAGGTCAATGGCCCGCATCGTCGCTGTCATGGCTGAATAAAGATATAAATAGTGGTGACGATAGGGGGGGGTGATTTGGGTGGACAGGTCAATGGCCCGCATCGTCGCTGTCATGGCTGAATAAAGATATAAATAGTGGTGACGATAGGGGGGGGGGTGATTTGGGTGGACAGGTCAATGGCCCGCATCGTCGCTGTCATGGCTGAATAAAGATATAAATAGTGGTGACGATAGGGGGGGGGGGGTGATTTGGGTGGACAGGTCAATGGCCCGCATCGTCGCTGTCATGGCTGAATAAAGATATAAATAGTGGTGACGATAGGGGGGGGGGGGTGATTTGGGTGGACAGGTCAATGGCCCGCATCGTCGCTGTCATGGCTGAGTAAAGATATAAATAGTGGTGACGATAGGGGGGGGGGGGGGGGGTGATTTGGGTGGACAGGTCAATGGCCCGCATCGTCGCTGTCATGGCTGAATAAAGATATAAATAGTGGTGACGATAGGGGGGGGGGGTGATTTGGGTGGTCAGGTCTATGGCCCGCATCGTCGCTGTCATGGCTGAGTAAAGATAAAAATAGTGGTGACGATGGAGGCGATGATTTGGGTGGTCAGGTCAATGGCCCGCATCGTCGCTGTCATGGCTGAATAAAGATAAAAATGGTGGTGACGAGGGGGCGATGATTTGGGTGGTCAGGTCAATGGCCCGCATCGTCGCTGTCATGGCTGAATAAAGATAAAAATAGTGGTGACGGTGGGGGCGATGATTTGGGTGGTCAGGTCAATGGCCCGCATCGTCGCTGTCATGGCTGAATAAAGATAAAAATAGTGGTGACGATAGGGGGGAGGGTGATTTGGGTGGTCAGGTCAATGGCCCGCATCGTCGCTGTCATGGCTGAATAAAGATAAAAATAGTGGTGACGGTGGGGGCGATGATTTGGGTGGTCAGGTCAATGGCCCGCATCGTCGCTGTCATGGCTGAATAAAGATAAAAATGGTGGTGACGATGGGGGGGAGCGATGATTTGGGTGGTCAGGTCAATGGCCCGCATCGTCGCTGTCATGGCTGAATAAAGATAAAAATAGTGGTGACGATAGGGGGGAGGGTGATTTGGGTGGTCAGGTCAATGGCCCGCATCGTTGCTGTCATGGCTGAGTAAAGATAAAAATGGTGGTGAGGATGGGGGCGATGATTTGGGTGGTCAGGTCAATGGCCCGCATCGTCGCTGTCATGGCTGAATAAAGATAAAAATAGTGGTGACGATGGGGGGGAGCGATGATTTGGGTGGTCAGGTCAATGGCCCGCATCGTCGCTGTCATGGCTGAATAAAGATAAAAATGGTGGTGACGATGGGGGGGAGCGATGATTTGGGTGGTCAGGTCAATGGCCCGCATCGTTGCTGTCATGGCTGAGTAAAGATAAAAATGGTGGTGAGGATGGGGGCGATGATTTGGGTGGTCAGGTCAATGGCCCGCATCGTCGCTGTCATGGCTGAATAAAGATAAAAATGGTGGTGACGATGGGAGGGAGCGATGATTTGGGTGGTCAGGTCAATGGCCCGCATCGTTGCTGTCATGGCTGAATAAAGATAAAAATGGGGGCGATGATTTGGGTGGCGAGGTCTATGGCCTGCATTGTAGTGTTTTGTTTTCTTAGTGTTACATGTATTGCTAGCACGGCTGGATAAATTAAAAACAATAACTTGTATAGTTGTTTCGTTAGTTTTTCATTTATTGTTGTCATGCCTGAATAAATTTGTAAAAAAAAAAGTCACTCGCGGTTTATTGTTTTGATTGGTTCCACGTTTACATTGTTAACCCTTTAGGCGATAGCATTACCAACTCTGGATTCCATTCGGCATTTTTGTTTAACCAGCCAAACGTAATACTCAGCTCCTCTGGAGAGGTCAAAGAAAGATCACGGTGCATGAGCATCTCATGATATCTCCCCCTAAAGCCCGGGTATTCGCCATATATTGAATTTCATTTGAGATAAACAAAATGTAAGAACTGTCAGAATAGGGCTGTTAAGTAGGTCAATAAAACCTTCATGAGCCATAGAACTGGTTGGTGACCTACTTACCATCCGTATTATAGATGCTATTTAATTCTTTTTACCAAGTAGACAAACGCTAAAATATAAAATAATTCGTATTTCGAATCAACTATATTGGTATCGAAAACAAACAAAAATCCTTACAACTTACTAGCAAGTTTTTCCTCGTCCTTGTTGCAGATCTCCACAATCCAGTCCTTCTCCACTGCGATCGTGTTGGCGATGGTCGCCAGATTGGCGGCCGAGGCGAGCACGATGATGAGGGCGTAGGCCACGTACCTGGTCCACTCGCCAATGTCCAGCAGCTCCTCCTTGAACATGAGGAAACAGTAGATGACGGCGGCGCTGAGTATGATGAGGACGTTCTGTAGTACTAGGGAGACCTGGGCGGCTGGAAATGTAAACAGAAGCTTTGCTTGTGTCTGTTTTTAGAATTGTTTGCATTGCGTTATATCACCACCAATAATTATATTATGACTTAGTTTAACTTAGTGTAATGGTAAAACGGTAGAGCGCATGACTTCTAACCTTAAAGGCAGAGGCGTAGCGACAAGCTTTCAATTTGGCGCCCGCCTCGGGAAAAACCTTTCAATTTGCAACCACCTCCCCCCCCTCAAACTTTCCATTTGCACCCCCTTCCCCTTTAAACTTTCCATTTGCACCCCCCCCCCCCCCATTTATTTTTTCATTTATAATGCAAAACTGCAGTTAAAATGAGATTTTAATTTGTTTTTCCAACCCATTTCGGCGCCCCCTAAGGTCGGCGCCCGGGGACATATGTAATACCCACCCGCCACCCCCCCCCCCCCCCTTCGCTACGCCTCTGCTAAAAGTTTCAAGTACAGATTCAGATTTTGAACCCGTAAGACTTCCTAATTCCACCCAACTGTAATGGGTACCTTGCCCCTGGACATCCTTACTTAAGCCCAAAATCCTAAACCCAGCTTTTGAGTTAGTAGATGACTGCTTCCCCCCCCCCCCAACCACACTGTCTAATTGTATCATATTATATAGTGGGCAACAGAGTTATCAGCCTTTAAGCACAAACCTCTGAGTCTAGCAGAGTTGTCTACCCAATCTCCAATTATTGCTCCCCCTAGCAGTACCGTTGTGCCCATGGTGAGGCCGTATATGGCTGTCAGTTGTAGAGAATCTGGTGTGATGTGGATCATGAAGATGCCCACAGCAAATGTCCACATCCGGTCACCCTGTTCCCCGGAAGTAGAACAACATTACATCATATTTTTATTTACAATAGATGATTTCAGGTAAGTTGGTATTTTAGCTGTGGTATTCAAGATATCAACTTGATAATTGAACAGATAGTAAGGGCATCATAACGCCGCTAAACATATTGCTATTACAAATAGCTACTGCTCGACATTGACTATTTAACAAAGCAACAAATATATACGGTCATTGAACTCATAACTACGCACATTTGCTATCACTAAATACATCATCAGCACCATCATCATCACCATCATCATCACCATCATCACCATCATCATCACCATCATCATCACCATCATCATCACCATCAGCACCATCATCATCACCATCAGCACCATCATCATCATCATCACCATCATCATCACCATCAGCACCATCATCATCACCATCAGCACCATCATCATCACCATCATTATCACCAGCATCACCATCATCATCACCATCAGCACCATCATCATCATCATCATCATCATTACCATCATCATCACCATTTCTATCATATTTTCCCGTTCGTGCCCAAGACACATGGGCGGACGAAGTAGAGTTCTTATGTTTGAGAAACCTCAACATATGAAGGTATAGTGTGGTCAGCACTATGCCCAGCCGCCTTAGTGGGCTCAGGGACATTCTACTGACTTGATCACGGATTTGACCTCGAGACTTCCGTGTAAGAACTTTAGCGATCTACCGCTAGGCCACGCCGTCCCATACTAAATACATACTATGATGTTATTTAACAAGTGATATTATTCTGCCAGGCAATGCTGAACCACGCATCCAAACATTAAACTCATAGTATCATTATTAACACACCAATACTTACAACTTCTTCTTCGTTTTCAATTTTTAGTGTTGAAAGGGATCGAGCCTTATCTACCAGAGGGTTCGAACTCGAGACTTTTTTTCGGTTTAACAACCAAGAACTTTGCCAACTCGACCACGCCTCCAACACAATAATGTAATACTGATTATGCGCCATTTAGGCCGTTGAATCCGATTTCAGCGTGCTTTTCGGATTTGGTTTCATAGCCTTTGTCCAACCTAGGCAGCAGTTGTTTGATTTTGGAGTTGTCTCTCCTAAAAGGCCACTTAACAACTTACCTATGCTGTTATGAGACACTTAACAACGTACCCATTATATCATGAGACACCTAACAACGTACTCATTATATCATGAGACACCTAACAACGTACCCATTATGCATGAGACACCTAACAACGTACCCATTATATCACGAGACACCTAACAACCTACCCATTATATCATGACACACCTAACAACGTACTCATTATATCATGAGACACCTAACAACCTACCCATTATGTTATGAGACATTTAACAACTTACCCATTATATCATGAAACACCTAACAACGTAGGCTACCTATTATGTTATGAGACACTTAACAACGTACCCATTATATCATAAGACACCTAACACCGTACCCATTATGTTACGAGACACCTAACAATGTACTCATTATGCCATAAGACACCTAACAACGTACCCATTATATCATGAGACACCTAACAACGTACCCATTTTATCATGAGACACTTAACAACGTACCCATGTTGTCATAAGACACCCAATGATGACATGAGACACCCAATGATGTTATGAGACACCTAACAACGTACCCATGCTGTAAGAAAGTGACTACAGTAGACCAACAGACTGGTGCCAAGCGTGGCGAAAGTCTTGCCGGAATTCTCTGAAATTGGAACAAAAGACACACGGGTTTTTTTTTTTACTTGCACTTTTGTTTATTAAAAACGGATTGTTTTCAGTTATTTATAGTACAAAATGTCTACTCTAGATTGTTAATGTTTATATTGCCCAACAAGGAAAACATTTTTTGTTTCATAATAACGATCCCATCATCAGATTCCCAGGGACAACATTTTAACTTATTTCGATTTTTGTCAATTTAGATATTGCGTTTTTATCAAACGTATTTTATTACCATTAATGATTTAAAAATGTAAACTAGATTATAAAAGACTCTTTTATGCCCCAATTGTTTTATGTCGTATAAAATGTTGTGTGTAATGATTATATATGGTGTATTACATAACGTGTATGTTCATTTATATGTGATACGTTAACTAATGCTTTATTACTTCCCTTTGATTGGATGTAGGGACTGCTTAGAGTTGACATATAATAGTAACTTTTAAGTTTCTCACTAAGCTAAAATCAATATCAGGTAACGTACTAAATTGTACACTTTTGTGTCTCTCTGCCTACCTGGTGAGGTGGAATCTGTTTGCGACAGGTGACCGTTAGCTTTGATTGCCAGAGTCTCGGCTGGAACTGGGCCCTGGTCAACTTCGTCACTGTCCATCCTGGGCTATGCTGATGCCGAGCTGAACCTCACTGGATTCGAACTCGAGCTAGGAACATAGTCTGAACTACCTGCAGACGTGAACACGAAGTATCAGAATCCAAAATTTGGTGAGCATAGTCCTCTACTAAAGACGTGACTAGTCCTCTACTAAAGACGTGACTAGTCCTCTACTAAAGACACGATTAGTCCTGAGCTACATACATGAACGTATTCTACAACTATCTAAACAGATGAACACTCTTCAACGAAAGGCATGAATATATTCCACGGCTAGCTAAAGGCATCAACATATCAACAGATACCTCAAGGCATGATCATATCCACGGATACTTAAGAACATGAACATATCCACAGATACCTAAGGACATGAACATTTCCACAGATACCTCAAGGCATGAACATATCCACAGATACATCAATGCATGAACATATCTACAGATACCTCAAGGCATGATCATATCCACGGATACCTAAGAACATGAACATATCCTCAGATACCTAAAGACATGAACATATCCACAGATACCTCAATGCATGAACATATCCACAGATACCTCAATGCATGAACATATTCTACATCTACATAGAGACGTAGCCATATTCCTCAACTACCAAATGATGCAATGAACAACATACATTTTAACACACACCGCAACCACCATACAACTTATAAACCAAAGTTTTACTTACACCACAACTACATATAGAATTTACAAACCACGCAAGTTTACATACACCACATTACTTAAAGAACTTATAAACCACACAAGTTTAACAAATACCACAATTACCTATAAAACTTATAAACCACACAAGTTTAACAAACACCACAACTACCTATAAAACTTATAAAACACACAAGTTTAACAAACACCACAACTACATATAAAACTTATAAACCACACAAGTTTAACAAACACTACAACTACCTATAAAACTTATAGACCACACAAGTTTAACAAACACCACAACTACTTATAAAACTTATAAACCACACACGTTTAACAAACACAACAACTACCTACAGACGTATGTTAGAATTTCTTATCTTGAGCGTGACAACACATACCGATGATGACATAGTTTTGAATGTGTACGCGCTGGGATGTCATGAGATGATAACCGTCCTATAGACTTAACGGTCACAATTATAGTGACGTCAAAATTTAATTAATACCCCAGATAATAAGCATTAATTGATGTTGTCAATTTTTTTACTACACATTACGTTGTTATATTTCGTGTTGAATTTTTTTACGTTTAATGTAAGGCCTTGCTCATTGTGTTTCTTTATGACTGTGATGCAGACATTGACATATATCCGCAGTTTCTGTACATTAGTAGTTTAGACCCGCGGGTAGCTGGGAAAGCCATAGGGTGATCTAGCATGGCGAAAGTAATCTCGTTTAATTATCACCTCAACGCCGCAGAGGCGTAGCTAGGAGAGGGACGGGGCGGGGCGGGGGGGGGGGGGGGGCGGGGCGGGGGGGGGGGGGCGCGATCGTCCCGGGCGTAATCATTAGAGGGGGGGGGGGGGGTTTAACAGGTTAGGAAAAAAAGGTCATTTCGAGCTCCATTACATAATTATTGACAGTCGAAATTAGAAATCAGACTGTTGCTTAAATTTACGGGCTTACTTAACTGTTTTCAGCATCGTTTGACGCTAACATAAAAACCGTTAAGGGACAGTAGCTAGTAAAAAGCTCCCCCTACCTTTCATAATTGGGGGGAGGAGCGCTTTTTTGCAATGTGAATAAGTATATCAATAGAGGAAGGGGCGCAAAATTGATATTTCGGCCCGGACGCCGAATGGGTCTCTACGCTACGCCCCTGCTCAAAGGAGGAGTTCTTTTCTTTCAATACGTATCTAAAATAATATTTTTAACAAATATTTTAAAATCTAAGTTTAAACAAATAGATCTAAAGCACGCGACATCAATAAAGATCTTTGTTTAATATTAGGTCAGATATTGAATAGGCCACCCTCTTGCACCCCACAATAAAAAAACCACCATCAACTAGCCTGTAAATTTTAACACGACACGCACAATAAATTCGTATCATTGCTCCATTTTATTTTAATCGATCAACCGATACGCTATCTGATCAGTTAGTGACTTTAATTAATCATAGAGATGGCGTGATCCAGTTGTACAACGGGCGCTTGATAAACTGAAAGTCTCGAGATCTTGAGACCGTGGGTTACTCCCTCACCACACTTTTCCTTTATGACGAAACCAGCGTTGAGTTGCCCAATAGGAGGAAGCAAAAATCTGGCCTAAACCAATACGTCTAGCACTAAGGTAACATCTGTAAGTGATATGCTCGATTCTTCAATCTGTTTATTCTGTCTGGCTATTGAGACAATTCGAGCAGGACATTTTTTTTCTTAAAATACCTTTTCAGTGTACTTTAAAAGTTTTTTTTTAACTTAAAACATTGCAACTCAGTTTAAAGCCGAAATACAAATGTAAAGTTGATTTAGCCGGATAACTTGGGATATGTTGATGTTGTTGTTTAACTCAAATCTCCTTGTAAAACGTATACTGTGGCATGAAAAAATTAGTTTAGATGTCTAAGAAAAGGTAAAGATTTATTTTAGCATTTGAGAGCTGGTCACTAGTATCTGGTGATTATCTATAACCTAGGCCAAGAACTATAACCTAGACATTGGCCATCATCTATAACCTAGACGTTGGCCACTATCTATAACCTAGACGTTGGCCATCATCTTTAACCTAGACATTGGCCATCATCTTTAACCTAGAAGTTGGCCACCATGTATAACCTAGAAGTTGGCCACCATCTATAACCTAGATGTCGGCCACCATGTATAACCTACAAATTGGCCATCTTATATAACCTAGGCAACCATATATAACCTAGAAATTGGAAACCATCTATAACCTAGAAGTTAGCACCATCTATAACATAGAAGTTGGCCACCATCTATAACATAGAAGTTGGCCACCATGTATAACCTAGAAGTTGGCCACCATCTATAACCTAGACGTCGGCCACCATGTATAACCTACAAATTGGCCATCATATATAATCTAGGCAACGATATATAACCTACAAATTGGACACCATCTATAACCTAGAAGTTAGCACCATCTATAACATAGAAGTTGGCCACCATCTATAACCTAGACAATGGCCACCATCTATAACCTAGAAGTTGGCCACCATATATAACCTAGAAATTGGCCACCATATATAACCTAGAAATAGGCCACTATCTATAACATCGAATCTGGCCACACGATGACGTGACCTTCACAACCACACCAACCGTCACGTTTTATGATGATGTCTACTGTTATCTCTTCTACCACAACCACAACAAGTACAACCAGATAGTAACAACCTATCCAGACAAAACTAAACAGGTTCAACAGTTCTCATGATATAAAAAAACCATTCAACTTTGTTAAGATCTCTTTAGTAAATACCACAGGTAAAGTACGTGTTATCACTCAATGACGTCATTAACCATGTACATATGTCGTATGTTTATTTTCATTTAAACTGAACTTTAAGGTTATATTTAAAGAAAAATATTTAAATCTATTCAATCGTTTATTTTTATTTTTTTTTGTTCATTTATTTATTTGTGTTTTACATGGTTTTTTTTTACATTAAGTACGTTTAAATAAGCGGAGCACTACATAAAATTAAATAAATGGAAACGAAGAATTTATTTTTTACTAGTGAATCAAGCATCAAAAACATTGTTAAACACAGTCTACTTTCTTCAACATGTACCATTGGGAGGTGGAAAGAGAAAAAAATTAGATACATTATCTCTGTGATTTAGCAATGTATACAAAGTATTATTTCAATGGCAAAGATAGACACAGGGACAAAATATAGACATTGGAAAGAAATAATGCTTTATGTTTATATTGCTATTTTATTTAAAGTAATTGCTGCCAACTTCTCTTCCTGTTCAATGTGTTTCAAAAATCAACCATTGCATAATATATTAATGCAGTTTGGTAAGTATGTAACATTATTTTTAAAATCCTTGCTAATACGAATATCATTATTCAATACTACTCGACATGATTCAATACCAGAAATCACACTTTAACCGGTGCAGTAATCGATCAGGAAGAAACATCGCCTTTGTAGGAAGTAACAGAAAGAGGTGAACATCACTTCATTTGCCCCACTGACGGTCAGGTTCGAAACGGAACTTTACTGTTAGGTAGCCTAATTAGAAAAGTGTCTATAAATAGAAAGCTGTCGATGATATCAGCATCAGTAAAAGATGGATTTGATAAATTTAAAGTGTGACTTAACGTGATGAAAATTTGAAACCACATGTGGTTACGTTTTTTTAAATTTCCCAAAAAATATTAATACACTAAAAATTTTTTAGCAAACTAAAATTTTTTTTCACAAGCATAAACTTCGTATCATCATTTTTTCAGACTTTAATAAATGGTGACACTGGCTAAATGAATAAATCGACTAACCTGAAACAAATGGTGACACCCGGCTAAATGAAACACTTCAGCTAAATGAGCGATATCCGCTAAATTTAAACAAAAGGTGACATAGGCTAAATGAAACACTTCAGCTAAATAAGCGATATCCGCTAAATTTAAACAAATGGCCACATCGGCTAAATAAACCACATCAGATAATCCTAAACAAATGGCCACATCGGCTAAATAAACCACATCAGATAATCCTAAACAAATGGCCACATCGGCTAAATAAACCACATCAGATAATCCTAAACAAATGGCCACATCGGCTAAATAAACCACATCAGATAATCCTAAACAAATGGCCACATCGGCTAAATAAACCACATCAGATAATCCTAAACAAATGGCCACATCGGCTAAATAAACCACATCAGATAATCCTAAACAAATAACCACACCGGCTAAATAAACCGCATCAGATAATTTAAAGTGCGACTTAACGTGATGAAAATTTGAAACCACTTGTGGTTACGTTTTTTAAATTTCCCCAAAAAAAAATTAAAACACTAAAAAACATTTCACAAGCATAAACTTGGTATCATCATTTTTTCAGACTTTAATAAATGGTGACACTGGCTAAATGAATAAATCGACTAACCTGAAACAAATGGTGACGCAGGCTAAATGAAACACTTCAGCTAAATGAGCGATATCCGCTAAATTTAAACAAATGGTGACACGGGCTAAATGAAACACTTCAGCTAAATGAGCGATATCCGCTAAATTTAAACAAACGGTGACACTGACTAAATAAGCCGTATACAAATGGTGAAGACGGCTAAATAAACCTCATCATCTAAGTTAGCGATAAGAGCTAAATTTAAACAAATGGTGACACGGGCTAAATAAACCACATCAGATAATCATAATCAAATGGCAACACCGGCTAAATAAACCGCATCAGATAATCATAATCAAATGGCCACACCGGCTAAATAAACCACATCAGATAATCATAATCAAATGGCAACACCGGCTAAATAAACCGCATCAGATAATCATAATCAAATGGCAACACCGGCTAAATAAACCACATCAGATAATCATAATCAAATGGCAACACCGGCTAAATAAACGATACTAGCAAACACAATTAACGATCGCAGAAATCTCCAGTAGCTCACCAAAATATCAAGTGTGGTGGGAAAGACAGCACATTTTCTAACCTACATAAATATTTGATATAATCTTCTCATAATCTTCAACCAGTTATCAGAGAGATAACAAAAGATATCAAGGTGGAACGACAACATTTAAAATACCGATAACACTTAGATGGAGTGTTTACTTTATCTAGCATTTAAATATATTATTATATATATTTTTAAATAACGAATGCTGGACACATTACTATCTAATCAGTAAAACAGATAGTAAGATTAAAACCTTGTTTCTTTACCTTCTGATACTCTTTTTTATAACAATAGTTAATTTACACAAGGATTACGTCCGGCTCTTATCAAGGGAGTCTTGAGGTCAGTCAGTTGTGTCTCTCAGCCGACTCAGCTCTAATAGGTACCTGACTCACGCTAGGAAAAGTAAATTTTGCCGGGCATAGTGCTCCCCTGCATATGTTGAGGTCACAAAAAACAGGTGAACTCTACATCATCTGCCCCATGGAAGCCAGTTTTTGAAAAGTTAACTTTGATGCGGAGACTTCTATTATATCGTTTTAATTTCCTTCTGGCGTATTTGCAAGCCTCACGTCATTATTTATTTCCATATAAGCCGTAGAATCTGATTTTCTTTTAGGATTTGCTTTCAGAGCCTTTGTCCACCCAAGAAAAACTACAAGGCAGCAGTTGTTTGATTTCAGAGTTGTCTCTCCTACATAAGTTCTTTCCCCATTCGTAAACGTGAACTAAATCGACTCGACCACGCAGACCCCCATATATAACTTAAAAAAAAAACGGATTAGTTATTTAATGTTCTCTTTTTTCAAATCGATAGCGACCAATATTGATTGTTTGCATTGTTGTGTGTCGTAGTCTACACTACGTATGCATATTCTTTCAGTTTCCATTTGATTTTTTTCTCTTTTCTATTTTACACTCCTAATTTTTTTTTAAATGAAACAAAGATTATGAAAGTTTAGTACAGTCATTATTTTTAATGATTTCACATTGCCGAAATAAAACAAAAAAAGTAATGTTGACAAAAAAACATATGGAATACATTTGCATAAATGTACAAATAATTTTTACAATGATTCAAATTTCTATTTATTTTTCATAAAATAAATTATTAATGAATAAATATAAAACTTTCAATGAGAAATGACACAATCATTTATATATATATATATATATATATATATATATATATATATATATATATATATATATATATATATATATATATATATATATATATATATATATATATATATATATATATATATATATATATAGTGGTATAATTTATAAATTAACAAAATAATATAACTATGAAAATTTCTGAAACGATTGATATAATAACATAACCGTTACATAGCTGTGTTCCTACTTAGTATTTCCTATCTACTATAGATAGAATACAGCAAGGATCGGCTATGTTTGTTTTGGCTAGGTATTGCTGGTCGCTCAAACCCTACTAAATGGAACGCTGACTTAAGTGTAGTGCCTATCAACTGCGCCACTTTTCTTAACATGTAATGATATCAAAGCTATTTCTCTTTTGTTTTCTGTAGTTACATTACAACCTTTAAAAATACAGAATAACATTATATCCTACAGCAGACTTCGAGAAAGGATAAATCTTCACTTTTTTAATCATAACAAAACAATTTTATTTCACTTTTCCATAAAACAAATTTGATACAGGTTTTCACGATTGATTGAAAAAAAAACATTAAAATTTTGAAATTTATTAAACCTGCAAACAATCACTTGTACGTTGTCAAGAAACTGATAATTTAAATTGGTCATTTAGAAATTACAATCATATCACACTCTCCAACCACTTCTACTATTTTAAATTCATATCGGTGTTGTTCCGGTGTTATGCCGTACTGTTTTCATTTGTAGGTTATAAATACCATAATTTTATATTTAAGTGTGCGAACACAATAGTTGTTTTTAATTCTTAATATTCCAAAAAAAACGCTACAAAGATTGATAATTTAAAGTATGAATTACAGTAGAGAAAAAAAATTGAAAAAGTAAATAAAGCAATAAAATCTTTTATTTATTTTCACTGAACGGACTCTCTTCATTTTGATTGAACAAGTAACTTTTGTTTAAAAAAAAATCGTCTTTTAATACAAGATTTCCCAAAAATAAAAATAAAGTATTTAAATACAAATAAAATACAAACTGTAATCTATTTTTATTTTTCAAATGTTGTTTGTTACACAAACTCTAGTTCCAAACAATTTTTGTTGTTATTCTTTGAACTTTTAAAAATAAATTTTATTTTTCTTTAAGAATCTGATTTACCTCCCCATAAACAAATGAATCATATTTTGTGTTATCAAACACAACTCGTATACCCGTATCTCGCTGTGTCCACAGCCCCACACACATCACAACAAACATTCAATTCATTTTATTTTACAATATACCAACAAAACTACACAGAATACAATGAACTGCAAAAACGCCACATATATTTTATAAATCACTAATAACATCAATATCTTAACAGTAGAATATAAACAAAATAAATTTCCTTTAATAAGAGATTCAATGTCATAATGAGGTTGAAAGCTTACATATGAAAGCACAAAGTTCATTAAAGCAGAATTTTAACACTAGAACTTCTGGCAGCAGTATGCAAATTTTTTTTTAAATAAATAATTAATCTCAATACAACAACTACACCTTTCAACTGTAAAACAATGTAAAACAATGTTAAACGCTGATAAAAAAAAAGTTGCCAATATATCAGTTGGTATCTACACGGAGAAAAATATAAGACTAAAAAAAATAACGTGAGTCTTTAACTAAAGCTAGTTACTCATGCTTTGCTTAGACACAAGTAACATTCTTTTCTTATAAGGGAAATAACTGCTATCCAAATAAAAATATTTTAAATTTCGGTTCTTGATCTTTACTTATACCTCCGTAAGATACTGGCATAAATATTTATAAAATGTAAGTCATATATATATATATATATATATATATATATATATATATATATATATATATATATATATATATATATATATATATATATATATATATATATATATATATATATATATATATATGGACCTATATATATGGACATATATATATGGACCTATATATATGGACATATATATATGGACCTATATATATGGACATATATATATGGACATATATATATGGACATATATATATGGACATATATATATGGACATATATATATACATATATATATACATATATATATACATATATATATACATATATATATACATATATATATATATATATATATATATATATATATATATATATATATATATATATATATATATATATATATATATATATATATATATACATATATATATACATATATATATATATATATATATATATATATATATATATATATATATATATATATATATATATATATATATATATATATATATATATATATATATGAACGTCTTCATAAATAAGATCGAGTAACAGTAGACTGCATTGATATGTACAATGACATATGGTTCGCGATAATTACCTAATTACGCATAGCTTTACAACCATGTATTCAATGCATTCCACAAAATTCGACAACTTTAACAAAAAAAATGTAATGGTCAAATCAAAAATGTAATCGAAAATCTTTCGACATACCTGTCGCAATAAAAATCAATTTTCTCTAAGTTTGTAATTTTATTTAAACCGTTCATTTAACGTTTACGTCGCGATGTTTAGCTGGTGCTGATTACGTTATGGATGTGTGGGTGGTCGCACGTTGTCATGGTAACATAACGAGATGGATAATCCTCTTAGTCTAATCCGCGACATCAAACATATTTTTTTAAAATATTTTTTGAGCGGATAAAATTATAAAAGCAGCGTAAATGTGAGCAATTTTATATTTGAAATAATTTTATACTTTGTGGTGATATGACATGTTATACTTCTTATTGATATAGTTAAATATAAAAAATTAAAATAATTATTTTAATAATTTAGCACATAACTTAAGCATAAATATATATATATTTATTTATTTGTTTTACATACTTAAAATCATTTGCAATTTTTAAAAATTGAAACCTATTCTTAGATTCTTAATTAAATAATTTTGTATATATTAGACTGTTTTTTTTTTCCAACCCAAAACAAATTGCGTCTATTTTTTTCAATTGTATTATTCTATCAGTCAAACACATGAACTTATTGTTTGTCTATAGCCAGGTAACATTGAAGTTAGCCGGAAAATTCCGGTTCATGTGTCTCTACTGGAATTGACGCGTCAAATTGAACATCTCGAACCGAGTTGTCACCCTTGTCTCTCCCCCATACCAGAAGTCCAATAACTCTGTCATGACACGCATCCACACTCTTCATCCACAAAATCCACTAGCCTGCGCGGAATGATATTTTTCATCTCATCTAAGTAATAAATATCTAAGGACGATTTCCTAACCGGTTGACAATTTTTTACACCTTGTATACTCGAGTTTGAATCAGTCTCTGGAATTTCCGATAACTTTGTCGAAGTGGAATTTGTTTGAATAACTAGTTGATCTGAATCACCTAGGGTTTTGTCTGTATTTGTTAAACACCTTCCTACACAGGTAACGGTGTGAAAACCTTTAGGATAAACTATAACCTTGTCCATTCCAAGTTCTTGAAATGTGATAAAAATTCTCTCAGAACAGCATTGGGTGGAGCCTGGAGTAGAACAGGGAGACCCAGCGTGTCTTTTAGACCGACCGTCGCGCCCTGAGTTATCGCTGGAGTCGGACGTCGCTAAAGTCGGTATGACCAAATAAGGTCGGTTCGGGTTCAGTTCCAGGTCGGTCGTGGGATAGGCTTCGTTTTTGTGTTTGGGCGAGCGGTACAGCATGTCCATATGCACGCGCTTCTTGCACCTCTTGCACGCGATCTTCAACACCAGAGTATGTCGGGGTGAGGTCGCCGCGTCGATCAGAACACTTTTCCGTATCGGAACAGAAAGCAGCGTTTTCTTCGCCTTGACCTCAACGTTCACCGCCGCGATGCGTTTCTCTTTTCCGGTATCCTGATCCACCACCCTCACCACGACCTTGACCGTCAAATGCCGCTTCGTTTTACCTTTCCCTCGTCTCTCCTCGTCCTCATCTTCCTCTTCTTTATTCTTCTCCTGTTTGTTTTTCCTCGCTTTGTTTTTCTCCTCTTTACCTTTCCCGATCGCGTTCCCGTTATTGAAAGCTTCGGTGAAATTCTTCAATATTTGCATCTTCTCCGCTCTCTCCTTCTGCGATCGCCTATCGGAACTGTCCACGCCTTCTTCGTTCTGTTCGTTCTTCAGCTGGTCCAATTTCTTCCGCATCTGCTCTGATAAGACGGTACCATCCGTCACGTTCTTCATCTTCTCCTTCAGGTCGTTTTCCGACGACTGCTTCGAGTTCTTGTTGTTGCGCTTCTTTTTCCGGACGTCGCGGAGCCGGATCATCAGGTAGGCCAGGCCGGACTGTAGAACGTGAGCTTGTTGCCTCGCGTCGAACTCAAAGACAATAGTGTCTCGGCTCCTGTCCTCTGGAGAAATTTGAGAAAGTCGAATTTTTATTTTACTCTAATAACATTTAAAGTATAATATATTAAATTTAAATAGAAGCTGTGTAGGCATTCTATTGGATAATGAGCGTGAGAAAGATATACTTTCTGCCACTTTCCTAAACTGACACACCGTTTGATAAATCCACACTTCTTTAAAATGGCAACATCTCTTTAACGCGAACACACTACGACAAAGGCCACATCTGTTTAAAAAGCCACACCTCTTTCTCACAGCCACACTTTTACAAAGCCACACCTGTTTACCACAACCACACCTGTTTACCACAACCACACCTGTTTACCACAACCACACCTGTTTACCACAACCACACCTGTTTACCACAACCACACCTGTTTACCACAACCACACCTGTTTACCACAACCACACCTGTTTACCACAACCACACCTGTTTACCACAACCACACCTGTTTACCACAACCACACCTGTTTACCACAACCACACCTGTTTACCACAACCACACCTGTTTACCACAACCACACCTGTTTACCACAACCACACCTGTTTACCACAACCACACCTGTTTACCACAACCACACCTGTTTACCACAGCCACACTTTAACGCAGCCACACTTTCACACAGCCACACCTGTTTACCACAACCACACCTGTCTACCACAGCCACAAAAATCTGCGACAGCCACACCTGTTTACTACAGCCACAACTGTCTACCACACCCACAGCTGTTTACCCCAACTACACAACTTTACCTGTCGGCTGTGCCAGCATCATGATGGAGATGGGGATTTCCCGTGGGGCCTGTACCGTCTTCTCTTGGTGTGTCTCCAGCTCTCTGCGTGTGGGCATGTTGAGGTGCTTGTCCAGGTTGTAGTTCCACTGGGGGAGAGACATAACACGTACATGGAACTGGCTACATAGCGCATACAGGGAACTGGCTACATAACACATACAGGGAACTGGCTACATAACACGTACAGGGAACTGGCTACATAACACGTACAGGGAACTGGCTACATAACACGTACAGGGAACTGGCTACATAACACGTACAGGGAACTGGCTACATAACACGTACAGGGAACTGGCTACATAACACATACAGGAACCTGGCTACATAACACATACAGGGAACTGGCTACATAACACATACAGGGAACTGGCTACATAACACGTACAGGGAACTGGCTACATGACACATACAGGGAACTGGCTGATTGGTGGTGTTATATTGGTGTACATAGGTTAACAAAGTGTTGTGATCTACATAACACTAAAAGGTTGGCTTGTTTGTTATAGTGATGGTCTAGATGACACGTACATGGACTATCTGACTTGGTGTTATGTTTTTGTACATAGGTTAACAAGGTGTTGTGGTCTACATAGCACAGGGCTGGTTTGTTTGTTATATTGGCGGTCTAAATAGTACATATAGGGAAACGGATATTTTTTGGATGCCAGAAGATTCGGTAAATAGTCCCCCATAATCAAACAAAATCAAAATACGATCCCCCACCTACCTTTATATGGGACTGCTAACCCGAAATTCTCGAGTTCGAATCCAGGTTCAAGTCACTGGACCGTCCCTGAGTCCACCCAGCTCTGATGGGTACCTAACTCACGTTAGGGAAAGTAAAGGCGGCTGGGCATAGTACTGACTACACTATCCCTTCATATACTGAAATCACAGAAACAGGTGAACTCTACTTCACCTATCCCATAGACCGTCACGAGGGAGCTTTACCTACCTTGTTGATCTGAGCCTGTCTGTCCCTTTCATTTTTAATCTCCGTTTGGACGTCCAGTCGACGGGTGCAGCTCGCCAGATGCGACAACAGCAGCACGGCCGGCAAGAAGGTGAGTACTGGTGAATGCATGTTCGTGTAACTCGTGTGTTCAAAGCTGAGGTAGAACAAAAAAAAATGTTTTAATAAATTGAAATATTTGTGCCCAGGTTGTGTGTTCAAAGCTGAGGTAGAACCAAAAAAAATTTTTTTTAATAAATTGAAATATTTGTGCCCACGTTATTTTTTTCTCTGATGTAATAATTTGGGGGTTGAACCAGCATACTCTTCGTGCGGTGCTGCAACAGATTTCATAATAGATAAAAATATTTTTATGTGCGCGGTTTTTTTTCTCTCCGATAAAATGAAGCGGGCATGAATCCGCGTACCCGTCATCAGTGTTGCTACTGTCTCAGAAGAAATAAAAGTCAGGGCACCTGTTAATTATTATATAATTGTGATGTATTTCTAGCAGCGTGACCTCGTTCTCTGCCTGTTTGGATCATAACAGACGCTCATTTTATCAGTTTTTTTTTTTTTGTTTTTCTTTAAATAACAGAGCTGTAAGTGGTCAATGAAAAAAAAAAAATTCGAAATTAAAAAGAGATTTCTGTAATGTGTTATTTTCTAGACAATATTACGGCAAGTAGAAATAATTCTACAACTGCATAAAATAATGCATTCAATTTATGACCATGGAAGAAAGCTTAAAAGCATAATATCAATATACGCTTGGGAGAATTGACAATTGTCTTGAGTACTGCGGCAGTGACAATATTATTTCAAATTGACCTCTGTAATTCATGTATATATATATATATATATATATATATATATATATATATATATATATATATATGTATATATATATATATATATATATATATACATAAAAATTTCCTCTTACAGGTAATTTACAACGTCCGTTTCACTAGTCATGTTCGCTTTATCATAGGCCTTGTGGGGACTGGTACATATTTACAATAAAAATACTTCTTTCAGAGTACTTTCATTCATTAATGATAGTTTACTTTTACATAGTGCAAAACGTTTTACTTCTATTTCGTTTATTGACCAGAAAATGTTACTGTGTAATAGACTGGAAAATCCTGTTCCCGATGTCGAGGGCAGATTTTGAAAATATTTGAATTGATAAAATAATTCTAAACAGCTTTTTAACGGCTCATATTAATCCTCATATTCGATAAAAAAATATTCAAATGAGTGTAATCGATGGTTCCCAAACGGCTTTAATTTTTACAAATGTAAATATAATTTTACCGTTTCTCGTGTTTTTACAAAGAATTTGTCAAATAATTAGAGCAAAAATGAAAATAAGTAGACACTAATATTATTTAAGACATAATTTCTCTTTCTGTATCAAATGATTGTATTGATTGAAATTTATATAACAAAATATAAATAAAAAGAGAAAAGTCTTTTACTTTAATTTATAATTAAAAATATATACATTTTATAAGAAATATTATAATTGCTTTTTTTTATAAATAGTATTTAATTAAATTATATGTTTTTCAATTGGTATAGTTTTTGTTTTCAATTATAGATAGCAATTTCAGTTGTATTTGTTTAGAACAAAAAAGATTTTCATAGCCTCCCTTTTATTAAGTATTTCTTTAATTTCTATTAAAAGGGAAATAATCCTTTTTATCAGCCTACATATTTATACACAATGTATCAACCGTTTTAATTATTGATACTCAAGAAGGCGTGACGTCGTTTGATCTGGAATTATACGTACACGTATCAAGTGGCGTAAGCAAAATAGGACGTCAAGAGTTGTATAACATCCCTTACCTGCCTTAACCCCCACTACTAACCGACAAAATGCAAGCTTTCTCACGTTAATTTCCAGCAATTAGCAACAGAACCCGCGGGTCACTAAAAATGCTTACAATTTTGAATTTTAATTAAGATAAACTCGAAAATACTATCGGATGGATTGTGCGTTAAAGACAAACAGACATAACTTCATTTATAATTATCATCATATTTTCCCGTTTGTGCCCAAAACACATAGGGCAGATGAAGGAAAGTTCATCTGTTTCAATGACCACGGCAAGCAAGGGGATAATGTGGTCAGCACTATGCCCAGACGTCTTTGTTTCCCTAAGGTAAGTCAGGTACTCATCAGAGCTGGGTAGACTCAGTGACGTCTTACAGCAATAAGTCCTACCGGCCGTATTTATTAAAATAGAGAGATACTATCATCAAAAGGTGTTTTTTTCCGTATCATACTTAGGGTAAACTTTAGTACTTCACTACGGTGTATAAACAATAGTTTACTAGCGTTCAGGTGTATAAACAGTCGTGCCTCTGTTTATGAACGTCCACATGTATAAATAGTCGTACCTCGGTTTACAAACATCCAGGTGTTTAAACAGTCGTGCCTCGGTTTACGAACGTCCACATGTATAAACAGTCGTACCTCGGTTTACGAACGTCCAGGTGTATAAACAGTCGTGCCTCGGTTTACGAACGTCGAGGTGTATAAACAGTCGTGCCTCGGTTTACGAACTTCCACATGTATAAACAGTCGTGCCTCGGTTTACGAACGTCCACATGTATAAACAGTCGTGCTTCGGTTTACAAACATCCAGGTGTTTAAACAGTCGTGCCTCGGTTTACGAACGTCGAGGTGTATAAACAGTCGTGCCTCGGTTTACGAACTTCCACATGTATAAACAGTCGTGCCTCGGTTTACGAACGTCGAGGTGTATAAACAGTCGTGCCTCGGTTTACGAACGTCCACATGTATAAACAGTCGTGCCTCGGTTTACGAACGTCCACATGTATAAACAGTGGTGCCTCGGTTTACGGACGTCCACATGTATAAACAGCCGTGCCTCGGTTTACGAACATCCAGGTGTCTAAACAGTCGTGTCTCGGTTTACGAACGTCCAGGTGTCTAAACAGTCGTGCCTCGGTTTACGAACATCCCGGTGTGAACAGTCGTACCTCGGTTTACGAACGCCTCGGTGATCGATATATTATGTGAACATATTGCATGCAGTATTGTCTACTAATTTGAAATATTTGAACGCAACTAGTACCAAATGTCAAACATAACGATCCACTGCTGGTAATGTTGTACCAATTAAAACTATTTTAAAAAATTGACACGTTGCTTAATTGTATAGTTTTCACCTGAAATAATTTCTTTGATTATTACATTATGCATATCTTTCAACATCTACAACATATATTGACATTCTTCTTCGCCTAATGGCCTAGCAGAATACATGCTACATTGCAGTTTTTTTCTTTAATATAGCATAACGAGTCTAACATTTTTTTAAAAGCACTTTAGTGTTGAATAGTGCATTCCAATCTGCTCGACTGATTATCAAAATTTACATTTGTGTAAATTTGGGTAAATTACTTCAATTTTTTAAAAGTATAAGTCATGTGTATATAATTTTTTTTAAGCCCGTAGCTATTTTCACGTTAGTCGGAATTTTTTTTTTACTCAAATTTTTTTGTAGCAAACCTTACGGCAAAACCACTCATATCTTTTTACCCGTTAATTTAAATCCCCGACATAAATTAACTTAAATGAATGTCTTACACACTAATATACATTTTAAGAAATTATTTATTTACTGAAAAAATAATAACTACTTAGTTTTAAAGAAGAAAATAATAAAAGGTTGATTTTCAGGTAAAAAAAAAATATGCTTCTGTCGGAAAAATGAAAGATAAGAATTATTTTTCAAGAGTTCTTATCCATAGAAAACGATGTACGTCAACTTCTACTAAAGTCAAGAATCGAATTAGCATTAGCTTAATTAATTAATTTTTGTTACATTTATTACGCGGTGATGTAAACGTATGGAAACAGATACTGAAAGGCGTCCGGCTGTGTTAAAAAAAATGCCATTTTGCTAGTGGTTTTAAAAAAAAAATTATTCTATAAAATACTAAATCAACCCAACGAGACTAGTACAAGTAGGAAAGATTAAAAAAAATCGCCGCTCTATTATGATCTATATTTACGATTAAAAACTTGGATTCGGAAAAACAACGAACTATATTGAGAAAATGTTTTCGGATTCTATGAGCGTCATTATTGTCTACAAGAGTAAAAGTTTTTTTTTTTTTTTTTTTTTTAAACGGAAATAAAATTTGCCAAAAATGTATGCTAAAAGTGTTTCATGAATATTTAAATAAAGCATACTTTGACACTGTAATCATGTAACTTAGTTAATTAATTAACTGGTTATAATTTAGAAACGCGCGCAAGCTAAAGCAGGAAATAGCCCCCATGGTGAGCGGTATTTGAGGCTTGCGTTTTTTTGGTCTATTGCGGGAAAGATAAGAAACCCTAATACTCTAATGTAGATTGCTGCATTTCTGAACTAGTGTGCGTCATAGTCTTACTTAACCTAGGCATGGAAACTAGGGGAAGTAACCGAGGTTATCTAATGGTGGTAAGGGAGGTAATTCGAGTAATACATGGTGTCTAAAGAAAGATTAAAATGTGGGCGATTTTGTTTAATCATTGTTTGCATATGTTACGTAATCAAAACAATAAGAGTGTGGATAATTAAATACATTGTATTAATATTAAAAAGGACAATTAAAGATGAAAGCCGATCCCTAGATAATTGAAGAGTCAGTTATGTTATTATTAAATATAAATAGTGGAACGACATAGTCGGGTGATAGAGAGTACGACAACTAACTCGAAAGTCTCGAGTTTGGATTCCTGGCTTAAGTCTGTAGGATCTATCTTTATTGACTTTGGTTGATAAACGGATTGTGTTAAACAGTAAGCCGAGCAGTTTTCACATTCCACGACGTAATCCAGGTACTCATTAGAGCTGACTGGACTCAACGAAGTCCGGTAGTCCCGAAAGTTGACCAGAGATTTGAACATGAGTCATTTGGGCCATCAGGCGAAAGCTAGGCTATTCGACCACACCGTCCCATACAAAGTAAAGTAAGAACTTGCCCTCGTTTGTCTATAAGATTTGGTCAAAGAATTTATAAGAAGGTGGGTACTAAACACATAGTTATTTAAGAGATAACAATACTGCATAGTTGTTGGTAACTTAATCATTTTTATGCCAATATCGAACAGGCATCGTCGC